GCCTCACTGCGCTGCCTCAGCAACCTGGCCCGCGGGCTCTTAAGAGGCCCTGTCGGAAGAGGCTTCTGGCTTTCAGGGTTTGGAGGTGGGGATCAGGAATGCTGGGTAACTCGCATGAAGAAGCTGATGATGATGATGATGGTGATGATGATGAAGAAGATGAGGAAGAAGGTGAGCAACATGAAGAGTGTGACGATGTGATGATGACGATGACGATGACGAGGGGCAGGGTGATGATGACGGCCGAGACGACGATTCGGATGATTCGATGACTAGATTGTTACTAGACCTTTGCCATGTTATCGTCGGTTTATCGTCAGAGTAATATCGTTACAACTGCTCCTAAAGTGTTACTACCGGTGTTCCAGTGATTGCCGCGCGTGCTTAGATCCTTCAAGGTGCCTCCTGTCACCTCGGAGAGTCCGCCAAGGGCCCCAGATTTCAAGAATTTAGCACTGACGGGTGAGTTGAGACCCTCAATTTGTCGAGCAGAGGCACAAAAATGGGATTGTGTAGGTCTAGGGGTGCGTAGTACCCCAGAACAAGTGAAAGGCTCCCTCCTCTACTACGAGCCCTCAAGGCCCTGGGCTGGCCTCGGCCTGCCCTTGCCGTGGGCGGGCCCCGAGGTGCCAAGCTCCAGCTCTCTCGTGGGCTTTGGGGATTCTTTATGGAAACCTGGCCAGTTTGCAAGCCCCAGAAACTGCTTGTTCTTGCAAGCATGTCTTAGCAGCCGTATCTGGTTTGGCTTCTCCAGACCCTGCTCTTCCAGTGTCCTGAAACGTTTCGGCTCTTTTGCTCTGGGGAAGTATGTGCCCTGCCGTCTTCTGCGCAGGGAAGCAAAATTCCAAGTCCAACAGCAACATCAAACTGGAAGATTGAACAAAGCGAGTGCGGGCACAACGCATCCAAGGTTGCGTTGCCTCGGGTCTCTTGCAATCGAAGCTACCTTAGAATGAAATTCTTAGTTCTCTGCTGCTTGCGCTGGTGTGTTGATGCGTGTCGCCTTTCAACCCTCAACTGTACAACCTTGAAACGCGTGCACCGCACGTCAACACGCAATGCTTGGGCAGCGCCGTGGCCAAGAAGCTGTGTAGGCACAGGTCACGGAGCCGTGCACTGAGCTGCTTGGAAGCGCTGCGGAACTCCACGAATTCTCGGGCTCTCATCGAGCCGCGCTGAGAGGATCAGTCCATGTACTCCCCGGCCGCTGTGTCTGGAATGCCTCTGCCGCTCCAACCGAGTCAGGAGCTCCTCACAGCGCTCCCGGCAGTTGCTGCATTCACCCTGCGACTGCCAGAGCTCCTGCTGCATCTCCGCCGCCGCTGACTCTGCAGCCGCAGCGCGAGTTGCGAACTCCATGCACTGCTCCCTGCACTTGGCGGCCTCGCTCTGCGCAGTTTGGAGCTCCGCGGTCTTGCTGCACACCTCCGCCTCCGCTGCGGCCAGGCGATTGCTGAGCTCTCGCACCTCCTCCTGCGACTTCTGGAGCTCCGCCTCGAGGCGCCGGCGCTCGGCGGTCTCCTCCTCGAGCTTCTGCCGCTTCCGCGCCGTCTCCTGGCTCTCGGCCGCCACGAGCCGCTCCGCGAGCTCCCGGCAGAGAGCACGGGTGTGGGGATCCTGCAGGTACCGAGCCGCCACCCGCTCCCGCTGCGCTGCTGAGCCGCACGGCTCTCCTCGCAGGAGCCCCGCCTCGGAGAAGCGCCAGTCGCCGTGGTACTTGCTGCATTCGGCGGCCCCATGCCGATGCAGCGCCTCGTGGAGCTCCTCCGGCCCCGTCTCCTTGCCTGTGAGCTCCGTCGCAAAGCGCTCCCGGCGCCGGCTGAGCCAGGCCCGGGCCTCCGCCGGCTGCGCGGCCCACAAATCCACCAGCCGATAGCTCACCGCCTCAAGAGCTCGGGACTCGTCTGCATAGTAATTTGGATGGTAATCAGCCAAGTGGACGAAGGCGTCGATGACGGTCGCCAGGGGCCAGCCGGCAGGGACTTCGGTCAGCTGCCAGAGAAATTTTGTTTCGGACTGCTGCAGCATGGCGGCGTGCCTCGGGGGCTGCGGGATGGGCACACGAGGACCTCCAATTTGCCTTTGAGCCCCGCAGGGCCAGGGAGCGCAAAACCGTGGTGCTATGCTGGACAGAGAACCCTCACATGCGCACCCTCAACCCTCCAAATTCCGCCTTTCGGCCAACACAAAAAAAAGAACGAACCCGAAAAAAAACCTAATCCCCCCCCACACACACTCAAAAGCCCTTGGCTTTCAACAGCTTCCGGCGGGCCTCCGCCGGACCGCGGCCCCCTGAGCAGAGGAGAGCGCTGCGGCTGCCGGCTTTCGGGTGGCTTTCGGGCTTTTTTCGGGCTTTCGGGCATGGTTTAGGGTGTAGGGTTTAGGGGTGTTGCCACCGCGGTGCTCTTCTTGTTTTGATCGGGGCGTTCTTGGGATCTTCTTTAAGAGCTTTGCACCGTGGTTTGTCCACCAGAGCCTCAGAGGTGAGATCCCCAAAGAGAGAGTCACGAGCCACAAATAATCTTTTGCCATCCAGGGCTAGAGACGCTTCTATGGGAGTTCCGGGTGCAGGGCAAATCGAGAAACCGACTCAGCCGCAGCCTCACCCGTCCTACAGCCCGAACTGCCCAGAAAAAGGAAGCGACCCCTTCACAAACCCTCCTCGCCCAAACCCCGCCCATTCACGCTGGAGATGCGTGGGACTCCCGGGGGCGGAGTAAATCCAAGTACCCCAGATCGACAATCAAGCGACACAGCTGCAGCCTCAACCGTCCTACAAGCCGAACTGCCCAGAAAACCCCACAACTCAACCCAGAAGCGACCCTTCAAACTTTTGAATAACCCCAAACGGAAAACCTAAACCCTCCCAATCAGCCTCAATCCTCGAACCCCAAACCCTAAAACCCCAAACTATCCCAAACCCTACCCTTTTGGGCCCCCTGGCCCACGACGGCGCCATCGCAGGGCGAGGCGACGAGCGCCAGGACGACGAGCTGAGAAACGGCCTCAGTGCTCCGCACACGCCCGGAATTCTTCGGCATTTTTGGAAGCGTTTTTGTTGGGCGTTTAGGGTTTGGGGGAGCATATGCCGGATTCCGACGTTTCAGGGCGTTTATAGGGAGCCGGGAGCGGGCTTGGGGCTTTCTTCGGAACTTCGATTCCACGTGTTGAGAAATCGAGGGTTGCAGGTATTTGAGAATTCGCGTTTTGAGGTCCGTTTCCAATGGAGGTTGTTGTGGGAAGGCAGGGTTTTTTGGTATCCTTCTGAAAAGATGTCTTTCTTGAACTGCTAGCTAGGGAAAGAGGGGGGGAGGGGGATTCAAGGGGCGACTGAAGCCCAGATCAGTGCATGGCAGATTCAGGGGGCGGCAAAGAAGGTTTCTCTTGGGATCTTTCTTGTTGAGACTGCCGCGTCTCCTCGGAGGCTGGAAACGGGACCCGATGTGCCAAAACTCCTCGTATGCGGCGCTGCGCCTTTTGGACGTCGAGGAGTTCCTGCCAACCCCTTGTAAGGAACCGAGCGATTTAATTAGGAGAAGCACTAGCAGCCCCCGGTGCGGTGCGAGGTGTGCGCAGACTCCAGGATGCGGGGTTTGAACAAGAATAGCCCGTACTCCCGCCCGCGCGCGCGTTTCGTCATGATCTTCAGTTGCAGAAGGTGACCCAAAAGAAAAGGAAAACAGAAGCGATGAGTTGGGCTCAGAATTCAGCCAGGCCCCTACAAGAAGCCGGAAACGTGAACCCGGACCTGCCCCCAAAACCACAAAGCTCCCCGAAGCCGGAAGCGTCTCCCAAAACTGAGGCAGGGGCCCTCATGTCTACATTGGCTGACGGATCTTGAGCCGCAGCAAGGCTGTGATGTCCCCCTTTTTCTTTGGGTTTCCATGTTTTGGGTTGCGGGTCTAGGGCTCAGGTTGTGGCTTCAGTGCCCTGGGCTTGGACAACCCGTTTCGGACACCTGCAGACTCCGGGGTGTTTCGGGGGTTTCGCGTGATAACGGAAACAGACTGTGAGAAGCTTTGCGCTCTAGGTGGGCAACAGGGCCGAAGTCTGTACCGCAAGCGATGCGCAAGCCCCAAACCCTCCTCGTCCCAGCCCTGGACCAAGAAGAAGCCTCGAAAGCTGCCTCGCAAGCCCAAACCGTCCGTAGCCGAAAGCACTGGGTCCTCAAACGTACACACTCTGAAACCTTCCGGGCTAAGGGACAAAAACACCTGATCGCACCCATTTTTACAACGTATGAGACCGAAGGGCGCTGTTTTGCTGACGGCAAGCGGCACGTGCTCTCAACGAGGCGAGGCTGGGAGACTTAAGAGCTTCTCGGGGGCCTAAGGGCTTGGGAGTTTTAGGGGGGAGTTTCTGGGGGGTGTTGGGCTTTTTCCGGGGCTTTGTGGCTGGAGTTGCTTTTCGGTTTCTTCGGGGGGGCGCTGAAGCTCCATGGCCTTTAGGACTTTCGGGGTCTAGGGCCCAGCTTAGCTTAAGCGGCTAAGGGTTGTAGAATCCTCCCGGCCTCGCCTCACTGCGCTGCCTCAGCAACCTGGCCCGCGGGCTCTTTCGAGGCCCTGTCGGAAGAGGCTTCTGGGGTTTGGGGCTTTGGGGCTTTGGATTGTTGGGGCTTTGGGGGTTTGGGGGGTTTTGGTGGCTTTGGGATTTGTGGTCTTCTTATTGGGCTTCCAGGTTGCTGTTGTTGTTGGTGCGATTCGCGGCCCATGATTGGGGTTTGGGGAGGCTTGGGTTTGACAGTTCAGGCTTCACAGTAGGCTTCTTCAGACAGTTTAAGCTTAGGGTTTGGGAGGTGGGGATCAGGAAGGAATGCTGGTGATGAAGATGGAAATGAAGATGAACAAGGTAGCTCGCATGAAGAAGAGGATGATGAAGGTGAGCAACATGAAGAGTGTGACGGTGATGATGCCGATGACGATGACGATGACGACGGGGAGGATGATGACGATGGTCCTGATGACGATGATTCGGATGACTCGATGACAGATTATCACTAGACCTCTGCCATGTTATCGTCGGTTTATCGTCAGAGAAATATCGTTACAAGTGCTCCTAAAGTGTTACTACCGGTGTTCCAGTGATTGCCGCGCGTGCTCAGATCCTTCAAGGTGCCTCCTGCAACCTCAGAGAGTCCGCCAAGGGCCCCCAGATTCAAAGAATTTAGCACTGACGGGTGAGTTGAGACCCTTAATTTGTCCAGCATCTTACAGAGGCACAAAATTGGGATTGTATAGGTACAGGGCCTAGGGTTTTGGTACCCCACAACAAGCGGAAGGCTCCCCCCTAAACCCTAAGCCCTAAACCCCCTCCTCTACTACGAGCCCTCAAGGCGCTGTACCGGCCTCGACCTGCCCTTGTCGTGGGCGGCCCCGAGGTGCCAAGCTCCAGCTCTTTCGTGGGGTTTGGGGGTTTTTAGGGGTTTTAGGGTTTACGAGGTTAGGGGTTTTAGGTGGTTAAGCGTTCAGGGTTTAGGCTTTTGTTTGTAAGAGCCCCTAGGGTTTGGGGTTGAGAGGATGCTAGCGGTTTAGGTTTAGGGGTTTGGACGGCTGGACTCGGCCCCACAACCCAAAATCCTCTCCCCACGGCCCGAACTGGGCCGAACCCCCCAGGCCGTAAAGACCAGCAGCGCCCAGAGCCCCCCACTCCCCACCTCCTGCGCTTGGAACACCGCCTGGCTCATCGAGGCCTGGAGACTCGGAGAGACGGCCGAAACCGTCTGAATCCAGAAGCCGAATCAGGTGTCGCACTTCGTCGCAATGTGGGACTTGCATCCATTGCAGTCGTTGCCCTAGGCTTTTCAAAAAACTACATGCGGTTTTCGTAAGGACCTAATGCATGCCCCCTTTGCAAGGCAATCTATTCCTGATGCAGGGCGATGGAAACCTGGCCAGTTTGCAAGCTGCAACACACTGCAATTGTCCCTGCAATCATGTCTTAGCAGCCGTGTCTGGTTTATCTTCTCCAGACCCTGCTCTTCCAGTGTCCTGAAATGTTTCGGCTCTTTTGCCTACGGAAGCATGTGCCCTGCCGTCTTCTGCGCAGGCAAGCAGAATTCCAAGTCCAACAGCAGCATCAAACTGGAAGATTAAGCTGATTAAACAAACAAAGCGAGTGCAGGCACAACGCATCCAAGGTTGCATTGCCTCGGGTGTCTTGCAATCGAAGCTACCTTAGAATGAAATCCTTAGTTCTCTGCTGCTTCCGCTGGTGTGTTGATGCGTGTCGCCTTTCAACCCTCAACTGTACACACAACCTTGGAACGCGTGCACCGCACATCAACACGCAATGCTTGGGCAGCGCCGTGGCCAAGAAGCTGTGTAGGCACAGGTCACGGAGCCGTGCACTGAGCTGCTTGGAAGCGCTGCGGAACTCCACGAATTCTCGGGCTCAAATCGAGCCGTGCTGAGAGGCTCAGTCCATGTACTCCCCGGCCGCTGTGTCCGGAATGGAAGCTCCCTCATCCGTCGGATAGGCCGCCTCCTTGCCTCTGCCACGGACGCCACGACGAGTCTGCAACTTCTGGTGTCCCTGGCTGAGGATGCAGGATGGGCTGGAGAAGACGGCCACAGGCAAGTCCGGCTTGAAGACGATCTTCAGCACGTTGCACTCCATGGCCAGTGTCTCTGCACTGGTGAGCGCAACCGGCTCACCTGAATCCAGCATCACGAGCTCGCCCACCTTAAGCTTACCCGCCGGCATGCAAAGAGGGCGTCCTGCGTTGCCACCTTCATTGGGAACCTGCACAGGATGGTCTGGGGTCACCCGCAGTGTTGCACTGCCCGCCTGCAAGTCAACCACTTTCGTGGTTTGCGCTTCTTTTGAGATGTCGACCACCTCCAGAACGGTCTTGCCATCGCCAGCCAGGACCTGCGACCCTTTCTGGAGGTCACTCCCCTCGCGGAAGAAGTCCATTCGACTCTTGAAGATGGCATCCAGCATGAAGCAGTTCTGCTTCACGGAACAACCGGAGGACCCACTTAGCAGACTTAGCAGGGAGGCGTGGTCTTCATCCACGAGGCTGTACCCCAGTTGCTCGGCAAGATCCGGCTGCTCATCACCGCAGGCTGCGTCGTGAGCCGGGCCACGAGGATTGAAGGTGGTCTTCCTCTCGGCAAGCTGGCGAAGGCGCTCCTTGTACATGCCCCTTTCTTCCCACAGAACCTCCAGCTGACCACGTGCTTCCGCAAGCTGCTGCTGGAGCTGCTCACACCGGTCCTGCAAGACTGCCTTGCAGCTCCCCGTCGCCAGGTGAACCTCAGCCCGCTGAGAACCGTCCTGGAAGCTGCGACTCGCGTCTGGCTGCAGTCGCTGCACCTCCAGCTGCTTCTCGGCGGCATGGGACTCGGCCTGCGAAAGAAGCTCCTTGGTCTTGACATGCTCGGATACTTCTGCCTCTGCCGCTTGCAATTGCAACTGAGCCGGGAGCTCCTCACAGTGCTCCCGGCAGTTGCTGCATTCGCCCTGCAACTGCCCGAGCTCCTGCCGCAGCTCCACCACGGCTGACTCCGCAGCTGCCGCGCGAGTCGTGAGCTCTTCGCACCGCTTCTTGCACTTGGCGGCCTCGCTCTGCGCAGATTGGAGCTCCGCATCCTTGCTGGCCACCTCTCCCTCCGCCGCAGCCAGGCGATTGCGCAGATCTCGGCCCTCCTCCTGCGATTTGTGCAGCTCCGCTTCGAGGCGCCGGCGCTCGGCGGTCTCCTCCTCGAGCTTCTGCCGCTTCCGCGCCGTCTCCGGGCTCTCGGCCGCCGCGAGCCGCTCCGCGAGCTCTCGGCAGCGAGCGCGGGTGTGGGGCTGCTGCAGGTACAAAGCCGCCCGGCGCTCCCGCTCCGCTGCTGAGCTCTGCGGCTCTCCTCGCAGGAGCCCCGCCTCGGAGAAGTGCCAGTAGTCGCTCTCGTACTTGCCGTACTCGGCCGCCCCGTGCCGGAGCAGCGCCTCGCAGAGCTGCTCCTGCCTCGTCTCCTTGCCCCCTGCGAGCCACCGCTTCAGCCAGCTGGTGGCCTCACCCGCGAGCTCCGTCGCAAAGCGCTCCCGGCATCGCTGGAGCCAGGCCTCGGCCTCCGCCGGCTGCGAGGCCCACAAATCCACCAGCCGATGGCTCGACGCCTCGAGAGCTCGGGTCGCGTCAGCACAACTTGGATCATAAAAAGCCAAGTCGGCGAAGGCACCGATGACGGTGGCCAGGGGCCAGCCGGCAGGGACTTCGGTCAGTTGAGAGAGAATTGTTGCTTCGGACTGCTGGGGCATGGCGGCGCTCCGTGCGGACTGGGCCTTTGAGCTCTGCTTCGCCCTAAAGCCAGGAAGTCAAAACCGCGGCCCTACTGGATCGATCTCTCAAAGGCACATAGCCCCTAACATGCCAACACCGTCAACCCTCTAAACTTCAGCCTAAGCCGAAAATCCCGAACCTGGAAATCCCCGGCCCTCACCCCACAGGCACTGAAACGCTTGGCTTTCAACAGCTCCGCGGGCCTCCGCCGGACCGCGGCCGCCTGAGGGAAGAGCGCGCTGGCTGTGGGTTCGGGGCTTCGGGCTTTGGGGAGAGCTTTCCATCACGGTGCCTTTGTTGCTTCATCGAGCGTTCTGGAATCGAACACAATTCTTCTTGAGTTGTGTATAAGAGTTTTACAGTGGGGTTTCACAGGCAGGCTAAAGGGTCGTTTGGGATTCAAGTACCCCAGATCAAAAATCAATCCACACAGCTGCAGCCTCAACCGTCCTACAAGCCGAACTGACCAGAAAACCCCACAACTCAACCCAGAAGCGACCCTTCAAACCTTTGAATACCCCAAACGGAAAACCTCCCATTCACCCGCGAACCTCGAAGCCCAAACCCCAAAACCTAAACCCCAAATCCTACCCGTGGGCCCCCTGGCCCACGACGGCGCCATCGCAGGGCGAGGCGAGCACCGCCAGAACTACGAGCTGAGAAAGGGCCTCATTGCTCCACAAACTCCCGGGATTCTTCGGCATTTTTGGCGTTTTTTGGAGTGTTTAGGACTTGGGGCTTCAAGGTCTAGGATGCAGGATTGAGGAAGAATGCCGGGTTCCAGCAGTTTCGGGTTCAGGGAGTAGGGGGCGGGCGTTGGGTCTTTCGTTGAAGTTCCACGGGTTGAGAGGTCGAGTCGAGGGTGAGCTTAGGGCTCAGGTGTAGTGCGTTGCAGGTACTCGAAGAGTTCAGGGTTTGAGGCCTCTTTCTAGTTTAGTTGTTGTGGAAAGCAGGGTTCCGGACTCCCTGCTTGTTTGGGGACTCCTTCTGAAAAGATGTCTTGCTTGAACCGCTGGAGGTGCTCTTGACCTTTCCGGCGCAACCCGCAGGATGTTGGTTTTGAACAGGTATCCTGATACTCACACGTGCCCTCCCAGCCTTTAATTTCCTTAATTGCAACAGATAGCCAAGGAGGACAGGGTCTCAGAATCAGCTGAAGCCGGGAACCGTAACCCTGAAAACCTCCCGAATCCCCAACTGAGGCAGTGGCCCTCATGTCTACATTGGCTGAAAGATCTTGAGCCGCAGCAAGGCTGTGAAGGTCCGCATGCTCTCACGGCTGCAGGATTCTGGGTTGAGGGTTGAGGCTTGTGGCTTCAGTGCCATGGGTTTGGACGACCCAAATTAGACTCTGCGCACAAGTTCCCGCAAGCACCCGAGACTTCAAAGCAACGGCCCTGCTTACTCGGAAGTGCCGATGCTTGCAGCTTCGAAGTGTACAGTGCTGCAGACTTTGGGTAATTTGGGTAACGGAAACAGAGTGTGAGCAGTTTGGAGCTCTACATGGGCAGGAGGGCACTCCGTGGCCAGCCAGTGAAGTGACGCTGTGCCTGCAAAAGGCTGCTCCTCAATAAACCTTGAGCCCCGAACCCTAAACCGCCCCAACCAAGACAGAAACCTCGAAAGCCACCTCGGAAGCTCAAACCGTCCTTCGCCGAAAGCAGGACCTCCTCATCCATATACACTCCGAAACATTAGGGTTAAACCATCAAAACACCCTTCAACACCCATATTCAAAAAAACAGACGGATGCTATTTTGCTGACTGCAAGCGGCACGTGCTCTCTCCGAGCCGCGGCTCCACTGCGCCAAGGAGGGACGGGAGCTGGGGGCAATTGAGGCAGTTGGAAGCTTTTTCGGAGCCTCGCGTTGAGTTCCTGCAAGAGTTTCTGGATTTTCGGAGTTTAGGGCCTGGGATGCTTCTGGGTTTTGGGGTTTGGAGCTTTAGGGGTTTAGGGTTTTACATACAGGTTTAGGGATGTTTATAGCGGTTTAGGGAGTTCAGGGGTTTAGGGGTTTAGGAGTTTAGGGGTTTTGGGAGTTAGGAGTTCAGGGGTTTAGCTCAGGAGGCTAAGGGTTGCACATCATCCGGCCGGCCTCACTGCGCTGCTTCAGCAACCTGGCCATGGAAGTGGCTTCTGGCTTCTGGCTTTTGGGGTTTGGGGTTTTGGGGGTTTCGGGGTTTCGGGGTGATTTTGGTGTTTTGGGGTTTTGGGGTTTGGGCCTTAGTTGTGTTGTTTGGCTTGGGGCTTGGGATTAGCGGCTCGTTTAGGGCTGCTCTCTCTAGCAGTTCAGGCTTTCGTGTCGAGGGCTTCAGGGATTTCAAGCTTCGGGTTCGGGTGGTGGAGATCAGGAATGCTGGTGAAGAAGAGCGAGATGAAGATGACCAACACTGAAGACGAAGCTGACGAAGGTCGCGATGACCACAAGTCGGACGATTCGGTGACTACATGATCACTGTACCTTAGCTAGTTTAGCCTTATGGTCGCTGTGCTGCGAAGAAATGTCGCAACTGGTCAGAAACTGTTGCTACGCATGTTCGAGTAATTCATATGCGTGCTGAGATCCTTCAAGGCTGCCTTTTGCAACTGTCTGCTGCTTTCAGATTGTCAGCTGATGGCCCTATAGGTTTAGCATCGACGGGCAAAGGGTTTGGCTTCAGCCTTACGACTACGGGTCTGTGAACCGTAGAGAACTGGACCTCCTTTTCCGTGGCACTCGCTGAAGGCAATCCATCAGGACGACCTTCAACCGTCTCCACTCAAACCTACACGCTACGCATCCGCACACCTTGCCGGCCCAGCGCAGGGTCATCCAACTTCCTAGGGCTAAGGGCTTCTCAGAAGACTCCCTTCGAGGTTGTAGACCAAGTGTATTTGGAAGTCTTCCCGCGGAAGACGGGATTCTATCTGAACGCCTGGTAGCCTTCCCTATCCGTCTAACCATCATGTCTTTTGGCCGCTATTGTCTTAATCTCTAAAACTCACACACCCTGAGCTCACGCCCTAACCCTATACCCTGAACCCTAAACCCCAAACCCTAAACCCTAAACCCTATACCCTATAAACCCTAAACCCCAAACCCTAGCCCACGGGCCGAAACTCCTGGAACAACCATGACGCCCTTGAAAACGAGGCCGGCAGAGCATGACAGCAGAGCCTCTGGGGGGAAGCTTGAACGCTCTGTGGTCCATCCTCCCCTGATCCACCTTCAAAGGGCCCTTGAGCCCTAAACTCCTAAAGCTGCAGCACAGCCATGGAAACCAAGAGGCACTCCAGCAACCCGCTGGAAGAGCCCATGGCTAAAGGGTTCAGGGTACCTGTTACCTCGCCAAAAAATTTTGCTAGAGTCCGACCAAAGAGTAGTACCGAAGTACACTTCTTTGTAGCTGCTGGCTTACATCTACAACCACTGCTCGGCGGCAAGCACCCTGGAACTCCAAAAAAGCGAGCGCCGGCGTCCGAAGCACCGCCTTCACTCGGCTTGGACGCCGTGCTGGAAGATCGGAGCTACCAGGAGGCCCAGCGTCTATGGTTGAAGGTTCAAGGCTTCGACTCCTGGTTTAGGGGCTTTCTTGGATCTATAAGGTTTGTGTAAAGAATGGGCTTAGGGTTTCGCGACTTCAGCGCTGAGAACCTGGCGTTTCGCTAGGGATCTTGATGGGGCTCCAAAACCCCATGGCCCTAAGAAAATTAAACTCAGCATGCAAAGCCCCAAAGAATCCCCAAACCCCAGCCGTGAGGTTCAGAGAAGTCGGAGGAGAGCTGCGTTGAGTAGTGGTGGAACTTCGTGCAGGAAAGGTTGAGGGTTTAGGGTGTAGGGTTTAGGGATGTTTCGGGTTTAGGGTTTTAGGGCTTGGGCTAAAAAATCCGACGTTCTCAGGATTCAGGCTTTGCTTCAGGGTTGAACACCTGGGGCCCCTTTTGGAAGGAACGTTCTCCATCGGCCAGGACTTCCATACCCCAACACCACACGTTGTTACACGGATCCTTGCAGGTTGGAATTAGTGGCCTCAGATAATTATACTAGTTATTAGACTTTACTAGACCAAGACGAACCCCCAAAACCTTATTCCAAGTATCAAGGCCTTGTCCCTCTATAACCGGGTTTGGATTCACGGTTTAGGGCCACATTTGTGGGCTCGGGGACGGCTCACAATCGACGCGGGGGTCGTGGCAGCTCCCAAAACTTGTGTGCACCGAGTCCCTTCGGGAAGGATGCGGGGAAGCTCCAGCAGATCCGGGTCAAGCACCGCCCGAGATGAAAGCCCTGCTACTCTCCGAACGCTCAAGACACGAAGAGCTCTGGGGAAGCATACACAACATGAGACTGCAGGAAGAGCTGGCAGCTTCCAGCTTCAGATGCATTGGGGTCTCTGGCTACTGAGATACAACTATAGGAGTTATCAATACATGCACCAGGTTGGGGCATATTTCAAGCGCAACACAACGCGGAATCCCTCTGTTGGGCGGCTGGGGATCGGAACCCCGTTGTCCCGGACTGCGGAACATCTGGCACTTCAGCGGGCAGGAGGCATCCCGGCCACGGACACGAGGTTGATGCAGTAGCCTCTGCACGATTTATGTGTCTATCTGAGCATCCAGCGCTTAGCCACACAAATACATCTACTACCCATGACAGCCCCTTCCTACCCTACACCCTAAACCTTAAATGCCGGCCAGCGGCGGTTTCCCTTGGAGTCGGGGAGGTTGTGGCCAAGGTGGGTGCCATCCACGCTCACCTTACCGGCGGCTCATACCCTCTGAGTTTCGGGCTCAGGGTCGGAGGGTCAAAGTGGTGCGGTTCAGGAGTCTAGGGTTTAGAGGATTAGGGGTTTAGGGTTTAGGGGTTTGGGGTTTTAGGGATTTGGGGTTTTAGTGTTTTTTGTTGGGGGGGCTAGGCTTAAGGATGCTATGAATCAGTGAGGTTCAGGGATGTCCTTTGGTTTCTGGCTCGAGGAACTTAGGGCTGTTGCTCCGAGCCTACAAGCTCCTACTTCAGCC